AATACGTTCTTGAGCGCTGAATTATCACGTTTAGCCTCCCAATTTTTAATTAACTTGCGCGACAGCAGTAATAAAAAAAAAGTAATAAGTACCTTTACCTTGGCGATCCGTTCTTGCTCTTCCTGCTGAATCTGCGCGAGGCTCTTTACAGGCACAGACTTCGTGGAACCCGTAGCATTCTCCGCCCATTTGAACTGCAGCCTCTTCGATGAGTCGACAGCAGCCGCTTCCTGTGCCGCTTCCATCGCTTTCTGCTGCGCCAGTTGTTGCTGCATTATTTGCTGGAACCGTTGCTCTTCCTGGGTAAACATTCACAGGCGTGAACAGAGTATGGTTTCCCGTGTATATCAAAATACCTGATATGTCCTACGTCAAACGATATATTCGAAGTCATACCGCTTTTTTCTCTCGCTCGAGTCTCTGAATTTCGGCGAGCGAAGCAGCGGGAGTGGCCGGAGCCGGGGCACGCGGTGCCTGCGCCCAAGGTGCTTTGCTCCGTTCTTGTAGCCTACGAAGTGCGTCAGCCTCGCGCCGTCTCTGTTCCGCTCGACGGGCCTGTTCTTCGGCCTCAGCTTGCTTGCGCGTCTCTGCCTCTTTCCTGCAAAAGGGAATAATAATAATGAGCTTGATTTTTCTTAGTAACACACTGATTGCCAGGCAATTTTTATGTGGTGCGCTCAGGGGACCACAATACAATTTCCATTATTCTTATCATGTGATGCTAAAATATTAAGTAATATTATCAAATAAAATTAAATAGTCTTATAAACAGTTTGTTTATTTTGCTAGTGGACACCCGTGACCAAGTGTTTCAGTGCAGTTAGTTTTTTTGGACAATTTCGCGAAAATCACCACTATTAGTGCCACTCAAAAGAAAAAAGGTTGAGTTTGTCTGGTACGAAATTATTGAAATATGTATTACGACAAAAATGTTGCAAATTTTGGTAAACAAAAAAGTGACTATTTACTGAACGGATTGCAACAGACAACCGGAATCGGAATATTTAATTTTTAATTAAAAAGTACACTTTTTCTTGCACGATATTCTCTACCTATTTACGTTGTTCAAAATTTGAAAAATTGGTCTAAATACGATAAATAGCATAAATAAAAAAGTTAGTTGCGTTGGTCACGGGTGACAATTGTGATTTCATTGAGAAGGCAAGCTCCGGTCACGTGCAGCGAATCTAATATCGAGGGACTTTCGGGAGTATCCTTCTGTGCACTGTGGAGTGCGTGAGAGAACACGAACAAGATACAAGATAAAAATTAAAAAATTTCTTGTGAGGAATTCTGAGAATTCGTAAAAAAACCTCTCGTGAGGGATTTTTCATAGCGACTTCAACGTTTTAAAAATAAACTTAATTAGACAGACAATATATACCGCATTCTTTCTTCTTCCTGTTTCCTCTGTTCTTCTTCTAATTTCTTTCTCTTCTCCTCTTCTTTCTTTAGCTTCTCTTCCTGCTTCTTAAGCTCCTCTTTTTTCCTCTTCTCTTCTTCTTGTTTCTTTCTTAAATTCTCCTCCTCCAGCTTCCGTTTCTCTTCTCGTTTCTTCTCTTCTTCTTTACGTTTCTTCTCTTCTTTCTTCTTCCGTTCCTCTTCCTGTTTGCGCTTCTCCTCCTCTTTTCGTTTCTTCTCTTCTTCCTTTTTCTTCCTTTCTTCGTCTTTTCGTTTCGCTTCTTCCGCTTGCTTAGCTTGTTCCTCCTTTTTTCTTTTCGCGTTCTCTTCCTCGGCCTGCCGCTGCAATTCCTCTTGCTTTCGTAATTCTTCCTTCTTCCTGTCTTCTTGCAGCCTAAGATTCTGCTCTTCCTGTTACGATAATTAACATAATTCTCAGTTTCTTTCGTTATACAGGGTGAACCTCGTAACACGACGAATGCAAACAACTCGTATTTGTTGTACGATAAAAATTTTAAATAAATGTTGCTCTGCTTTTTATTGAGATACAAGGGCCACCTTCTGGTTTTTAAACAAAATGGCCAATACTTTTTCTAGAATTTCAATAAAGCATCAAATTCCGAACAAAAAAGTATTATAGATAAATAAGACATTGTTTGTGTCTTTTCTTATCTTTTTTTCGCTTAAGCACTTATTTGTTTTTCCTTTCAACAAATAACTTATGAAATAATCCAATACACGAATTTTATTTTCTTCTGTTTATGTTGTTATAATTCCTACCTTCTTTTTTATCCCGGATTTCGCTTCCCAAGCATACAGTCACTGTATGTGCCGTAATAACACGAAGAAACAATGAAGAAACACTAGAAAATGTTCTTTGTTCGCTCAGAATCCGATTAATTTCATCACTG